CACACCATTCCTTTCTCAGAAAAAAAAAAAATGCCTTCAGGTGCCAGGTGGTGCGCACTTGCAAGTAGGAGGTGGAGGCAGAAAAATGACGACTGAATGTAACCTGGGCTATGTACTGAAACCCTATCTAAAAAACAAGACAAAACCCTTTATGACTGAAGAGGTAATAGAGACACATCAGAGGACATTGGTCATTAGCAAAGCTCTCCTAAAGGAAGGTAAAGCAGGCCTGTGAGTCGAACTCACACGTGAAATCTGAGCACCTCAGAGCCTGAAGTGGGAGCACTCAGTTTGAGGCCAGCCTGGGCTATATACCAAGATCTGGTTCAGCTTGGACTATATAGTGAGGCCCTGTCCTAAACAACAGCAAATAATGACCAGATGGAGTTCTCCACACAGGAAGAATATGACCGAAGATGTCTTCAAACCTGTGAGCAAAGGTGTGGGGAAACGCTGAAGGCTCTCCTTGTGTTTTTTAAATTATGTTTGATAGTTGAAACCAAACATATAATACCTTCTGATGTGGCTCTAAACGCAGAAGAAATAAAAAAGGAATTGCCCATGGGGAGGAGTAGAGGGATACAGAGAGAGGTAGCATTTCTATGTGTCATTCAAACTGGTAAAATGGTGACACCATGTATGCCTATGATAGACTATGTAGAGTAATTTTTAAAAAGTGACTCAAAGATACACACAAAAGCACTAGATAAGTCAATGAATGTCTAGAAGCTTATAAGCAGACCGCAAGAAGGCAGAGATAAAAACAAAAACAGTGTAACAACAACAAAAAGCCAGGCTTCAGCCTTAAATATAACTGGCTTAACTCTGTTAATTAAAAGATGTATTGACAGAATGGATTTTAAAATGCCCCAGTTGCATGCTATCTACAAGAAATAATTCCAATTTGGCACCACAGGTAGGTTGAAAGTAAAAAGACAGAAAGGTTAGATTTTTCGAACATTAAAAAAAAAAAAAAAAAGACAGCACTAGCTGTGCTAATGAATACCAAGGAAAATTCCAGGAGGAAGAGAGGGGTGTCAGAATGGGACAAGTGTACCCACAGAGAAGACTCATGGATATACACTCTCAGAATAAAACTGAAGACTTTGGGATGTAAAAAGTGCCTTGAAAAGCAACTGCAACAGCTCTCAGGAGCAGGGAATTTGTCATTTTATGGCTTGGTTTCTGTTCTAAAAGATCCACACTATGATACAAGTGAAGTGATGCATCTGGGGTTTCCCTCAGGGCTCTCCAGAGTGAGGAGGTAGGGTCATTTAGAAGAATAATTAGCCAGTACATGTCACATGGGGTAGGCATGTGAGTTCTGTTTTTGTTCTGCTTTGAGACAAGGTCTCACATAGCCCAGGCTGGCTTTGAACTCATTATGTAGCTGAGGATGAGGTTGAACAGATTTGCCCTGTCTCTCCAGACATGTGGGCTGCTCATATCTGTGGGGAGGGTTAGGCTCCAGACTTGCAGACAGACCTGGTGTGACTTCCTTCTATTGTGGCCCTGGGAAAGCTATTGAACTTTTTACACTATAGGGAAAATACCAGATGCAGGTAGATGATACTTCCAGGAAGAGGAAAGGGAGGCTCTGAAGAAGGAAACAGGAAGAAAAGCTAGAGGAGAGAGGCACAGTTGCAGGTGGGTCAGCATGCCAGACCAGCTGAGAAGCCCTTAGGGTTGGTGTTCAGGTCTTCTGGCTGATAATGGCTTTGGTTCAGTGGAGAGCGTGGGCCCAGATTCAATCCTGAGACCTAGGTGCTGGAAGAGGAATGATGCTTACTGTTCTTGGAACAGTGGCAACAAGGTGGGAAGGAGATATAGTGGCCTGAGGGAAGGGACTCTAGGGACACTGAGGAGCAGAGGAGAAGGTGTTGACTAGCAAGGAGGGCCATTTCCATCTCTGGGTTCATGGGGACGGTGCTCGGTGCACATGAAAGTACAAATGTATCTTTGACATTCTGTTGCCATGCCAGCTGGGCACTCAGAAGTGCACACTCCAGTACAGCTGCTGGACCAGACAGTAGATCTGTTTTAGTTTTTAGTGGAAGTCTCACACCGTTTCCCACAGCAACTGTACTGCTTCACATCCCCAGCAACGCAGTGGTTCCAGGTTCCCCAATCCTCTCCAGCACCTGTGCTTTTTATTGGCTATGTTGACACAGACATCCTGAGAGATGTCAGGTGATGTCTTGTCATAGTTTTGACACATCATTGAAAAATATGGGTTATACATATATAGAAAAATATAGTGTATATATATAATAGAGTATTATTGAACCTCAAAAGGGAAGCAACCATATCTTATGCTACAGCATAAACAAGAAGAACATTACACTCAGTGAAACAGAACGACATATGCCATGTAATTCCACCTTTATGAGGTGGCTAAAATAGTCTTATAGGATAACGAGGGTGGTGTCCAAGGCTGGGGTGAGGCTTGAGGAAACTATAGTTTAATGGGCATGATCATAGACATTTAAGTTCTACTAGAGATTTATGGCACACTGTGCCTATAGTTAACAAGGTGATATTGTAGCTGGGAAGTGGTGGCACATGTCTTTAATTCTATCCCTAGGGAGGCAGAGGCAGGTGGATCTCTGAGCTCCAGGCTAGCCTGGTCTGTAGTGTGAGTTCCAGGACATCCAGGACTGCTACAGAGATACTCTATCTCAACAAAACAAAACAAAAAACAACCCCCAAACAAAAACCCCACCAAACAAACAACAAAATGAAATAAAAAAGGTGATATTGTGTCCTTCTGCATTTGTGTAAATGGCAGATCTAGTGTTAAATTTTCATTTTTGTCTTCCTTCCTTCTTTCCTTCCTTCCTTTTTTTTCATGCAAAAATAAAGGGATACTAGGAAACCTTTGGAAGAGTAGATCTCATATTACTTTGAATTGGTGATGGAATCTCAGGTATTTACATAGTTCAAAGCTCATCAAAATAGACACATTAAATATATGTATATCTTTGTATATCAGTTATACCTCAAAGCTGGAGAGAGGAGGCAGGGGGAGAAAAGGAGGGAGGGCCAGTTTGTCCTTTGGGAGAAAAGTGATCTCAAGAGCAAGGTGGGAAGCCCTTCTTCCATGCAGACTGGGACTGTGCCCAAGGCTGCAATGTCTGTGAAACCTCCTCTTCTATTCTAAAGAAAGGGACAACAGAGGAGAATCAGGACTTACACAGGCTGACTAGATATTATTCACAATGATGGAATTGTGATGTTGTTTTAAAAGGTTGGTTCTTGCTTTCTATATTGGCACTAACTTGTTTATAGATGGAATATGTCTGAGATCTGGTTTACCCATGGGGAATCCAAGAATTACTCCTTTGTTCTAGAGAGAGGCTCCAAAACAGGTCTTTTAGGAATTGGAGTGCGGTACCAAGCCCTCCTATGTTTGTTCATCATTGACTAGGTGTCTTCCACTTAATGTCATTAGTCATTTGGGATGGTGAAGCATTGAGCAGCATGCTAACAAGCCCTTGCAGGAGAGATTGTGTTCACATTTCATTATTCTCCAGAGTGACCAGTCTGCTCTGATTCACCTACACCCATTGGGGGAGGCCTGTGTGTCCAATCCGGAAATCCCTGGGAGAAAGACATTTCCCCATCCCTGAGTGTGAGGTACAGGTGCTCAGTCACCGTGGACCAAAAAGCTCAGGGGACAAGTCCTTCAAGGTCAGATTTGTCTGGGGCTGCTACAGGCTGGGTGCGGTTTGAGAGTGTTGCATGTCCGTAGCTGGTGGGCGGTGTTGCAGTGGCAGAACCTGTGAGAGGAGCCTATCAGAAGGCACTTAGTCATGGGAGCACGCCTTTAGAAGGGATGAATGTGGGTCTTCTGGAAACCCCTAGAGGAGACTGCGATAAGCAAGCTGACACATCCCCGACTCACTGGCCCTCTTTCTGCTTTCGTGTGATCTCTCTCACATCCACTCCCACCACAAAGCTATCCTTCATGTTCTGATGATTGAAAACATCCTAATGAATGCTCAGCAGGTACGAGAACCCTCCACTCAGTATGTAGCCAACGTTGACCTCTGCCGCCTCCTAAGGGATAGGATTGCAGAAGCACCATCAAGGTTGGACTGCCCAAGAAGACATTTCCCACAGTCCTACAAGCGCTAAGGTGCTAACGGACTTGAGGATACAAGCATGCCTCTTGAAATCCAGGCACCTACACCCATAGCAACTGGTACCACCCCAGCAAAAACTCATCACCTCTAGTGATGATGGTGGCAGCTAGAGGGGACAGAAATCCACAGTGTACACGGGCTTAAGCGACAGGGTCAAGCTTTATTGGGGTGATCACATTCATGTTTGCACTCTTCACCATAGGTGGAGAAGGCCAGTTTTAGAAAGTATTCCATTTCCTTCAATTCCATCTGTATTTAGCAAGCAGCAACATATATTACCCAATGAAACACCCCACCTTAAGAGCACACATTAGTTCATAAAACTGTCCTCAGACAGTGTGCAATGATATTTATAACATACCAGACCCTTTACAAGTTCAAACTTTAGAAACTTGGGATGCACTTGCAAAGCTAACTGTGTGTATTTTTTTCAGGTAAGGAAGGTCAGTCATAAAAAAATACTTTGTATGAATTCAAGGTCAGAACTAAAATATTCAACCCTATAAAAATATCTTACTGATAAAACTATTAATTTCTAGATAAATCACTCTTTATCGACAAGTTATATAAAGTATTTCAGAAAATACCCACTAAGTCAGACAGTCTGCATAGGACTTGTCAAGGTGACTTCAAGGTTCATTTGTCACCAGGGATTTGTTTTCAGAGATGGACCACATTTTGACTTACATTGTGTGTGAATAGCTCAGGTGTTCTACAAAAACAGAACTCAGGTATCTATTTGCTATGAGTCATTTGCAGATAAACTCTGGACCTAGAGGGAGTTGTTAGACTGCTGCTGTCTATAGACAGAGCACAAGCTCTGTCAGGGCTCACCTACACATGACCTTGAAATGCTTAACTTGGGAAACTTGTGATTGCATTTTGACCGCTGTCTGAGATCAGCTCGTTTATTTCATTCTGCTTGCTCTCTTTCAGGGCATGGTTGGGATGGTTTCTCTGTGCTTGTGTTCTTTTGGATCTCCTGAAACACAGTTTTAGCAACAGGTAGCACAACTCGGCCACATTGAGCAGCATGCAAATCACAGATGCGGAAATCATAAAAACAGTAAACACTGTTTTCTCAGTTGGTCTCGAAATAAAGCAGTCCACAAGGTTGGGGCAGGGCTCAATGCCGCATTTCAGCACCCAGGGCAGGTGGTATCCATTGTAGAGGAAGTAGAACACATACATGAAGGCTGCTTCAAAGATGATTCGGAAGAAGATGCTGCTGGTGTATGTCCACCACAGCGAGCCCTCGATGCGCACCTTCTGCCGTTTGATGTCCTCCAGGTCTTTAAACTCATTCCTCTTCTCCCCACGTATAAACTTACGGGCAGTTTCGTGTCTGTAGTAGGCTACGTGCATGGCCACCAGCAGTGCTGGGGTGGACACGAAGATCAGCTGCAGGGCCCAGAGCCGGATGTGGGATACCGGGAAGAAGTGGTCATAGCAGACATTCTTGCACCCTGGCTGCAGAGTGTTGCACACAAAGTCCTCCTGCTCATCACCCCATACTTCCTGGGCTGCCACCACAAGGATCATGACTCGGAAAATAAAGATGACTGTGATCCACACCTTCCCTATGCTGGTGGAGTGCTTGTTCACACCACCAATGACAGTGTGCAGGGTCCCCCAATCCATCGTGCAGGTTTATTCCTAAATAGACAAATAGGAGCAAAGCCAGTTAGTGGAAGGCACCTCTGAATTAACCGGCCAGAACCATAGTTCAATTACAAGGTCATGTGAATCTAGGCAGGTCTCGACTGCCTACTCTGCTATTTTCTATGTGTTTTTCTGGTAAGGAATGCCCATTATAAAGATGCTGTCTCATTTTTGATCACTAATAACAAATAGTGGATAAACTATTTCTTCTTCCCATTCTGAGGCAACATCAACTTGACAACTTCCTATCTAGATGAAGAGTTTTTATAAGCAACTGTCACAGTAAATAGAAACTTGATTTCACTTTTTGTAGAAGAATTGTGCCTTTCATATGCAATATAAGTCATCTAAATTCAATTGAACATGGGTTGCATATTAGTTTCTGTTTGTCATTAATCCAAGAACACAGGTAAACAAACGTGTGCCCAAGTTCCCTTTCTTCACTATGCAAATGCACACATTATATCATTGTGGTTTTACTCAGGGACTCAGAACTTCTGCCATAGGTCTTAGTAATTAAGTGGTTTATCCAAGCCACAAGATAACAGCAAAAATCACTCCTTTTTAGTTAGCAGACTAAGAAGAAACAATGCTGTCAGTTGACCTTATACAGTGTGTATTTATTTCTGCTACAATCATGTGCTCTCAGGAAAGCTAATTCTTCAACTACCTTCCCCAAAAGAGAATCACAAGGTTTGACACAAGCTGTTTCCTTGTTCTCTGATGGAAGCAGGCCATGTGTTGGCTGTTGCTCAAAAATACGGGTCCCATTGTACCAGGGGCCCCTGAAGCCCAGGACTTTCTTCCCTTCTAAAAGACTGATTTGACATCCTGAGAGAAAAAGATTTTCTTTCCTCGAAGGCATTCGTTCTCAACCTTTTAATGCAATTCCTCAGGTCATGGTGACCCCCAACCATAAAGTTATTTTGTTGTTACTTCATAACTGTACTTTTTCTACTGTTTTGAATTGTAATGTAAATATTTATATTTTCTTGTGGTCTTAGGTGATCCCTGTGAAAGGGTTGTTCAAACCCCAAGGGAATGAGACACACAGGTTGAGAACCATTGTTCTATGGCAACTCTTACTATAATTCAAACAGCTGCTTCTTATCCCACATTACCAAGAAGAAAGAATTGGTTGGCATGTTTTTTTTTTTTTTTTTTTTTTTTTTGGTGTGTATGTGTGTGGGGTAATGAATGAGGGACACTGAAAATCTTTAGAAGCAAAGACAGTCAGGCAATTTTTCATCTGCTTGGAGGGGATGAGAGAGTCATCCAAGTCCTTTTTTTTGCTGGTCTCAGGAGACTTTCTCTTGGAAGTGGGTAAGGAACACTGTCCAAGTTCCCCCTCAAATTAACATCTAAGCATGCCTGGTCTACAGCCCGCCCTCAGCATTGCTGGCCACTCCTCACACTGCCTGCCACACCCCCCTAAAATTAGTCCTGGGTTTGACTAATTTTAGAGTTTATGCTTTTCTCAGAAAGCCACCAGGTTTGGGCTCACAGAGTGGCTGCCACGCCCATCTGACCGTGTGTGCTGATTTCTGCTCCTGCTGGGTCAGACAATGGGAGCTCAGGTGCACACTCTGGGGAATAGAATCAAGCATGATAGAGATATAACTAGAAATTTCCATGTGTTTTGGTTCCAAGAATTTGTCCCCTTGCCATGATGGGCCAGAACACCAGAATGTTCACAGTTCCAAACATTGATTACGTTCTGTGACTACAAGGCTGTTAGCAGAACAGCTGGATTCTTAGAGCTACAGTAAACCTGAGCTTGCTCACCCCAGTACAGGTGGCAAACTGACACAATGATTTTTTAACTCAGCCTGGACTGATTAAATATTAATTTTTCTAATAGAAAAGAAAAGAGGAATTACATTCTTCAAGAATGGAGGAATGAGGCCTCTTAAAAAAAAAATGTATCTATTTTTAGGAGAGGCAGGTGAGGGCAGGAAACCGAAAGTCACAGAGAGATAGGGACAACACAGATCAAGGGTTAACGGAGAGGCCTAAATCTGTAAAATCGAAAACAAAATGAGAAAACAAAGTCAAACACCCACAATATGAAAAGGAAGGAGACAAGTAGAGTAGCAGGGCACTTCTTGGCTTATCTGGCTATGGTTAACTTTTGCTGTCGCTTCTGTTTTTGAGAAAGTCTCATGTAACCCAGACTGGCCTGGGACTCCCCATTCTCCTTCCTTTATCTCCTGAGTTGGAATTACAGGCATGTACCACCATGCCTCACTCCAGACAGTACAATTTTAATTGGCAACCAATATGAAGTATATATTTACTTATTCACAGTGCTGCGGATGGAACTCCAGAACTTTGTGTGTGCTGGGTAGGCACTCTACCATCTGGACTTTATCAGTGAGCCTGGCCTAGGGCGCTTTCTGTTTAACCTCCAGGAAGGATCTACAATAACACTTTTCAACTATTTTGTAACAATTGGGTAATAATTACCATGGCAACGGCATGGACAACATCTAAGAGTTTGTAGACACTAGTGTTTGTAGACATCTCAGAACGTCAATAATATAGTTGCATCCTCATAGTTCCTTTAATAATATTGTGTCATAACGCTGTAGTTAAGTGCTTTATACGAGCATGGGTATCAGTGGGACTTTAGTGTCCTTTGTCTTATTGTAGAAAAATGACTTAGGCTACATGAGAACCGATTGTTCAGGCTCCATGAAGATATAATCACTTTGTGGTTCTGGGAAGATCCTGGCATTCTGGGGCACCTCTGGAAGTCTAATTAGGTAGTGGAATCTTGAATGAGGGTCTTTTGTTTTACAGGAGGAGCAGTTAAGGGACCAAGACAAACTAATTTGAGGGTCTAGACTGTGGGGCACTGGGCAACAATCTTGGCAATTGGACCAAAAGAAAATTCAAACCCTGTACTGATCTGGAACTTAGAAGCTGGGTTTCGTATTTAGCATTAACAGAAAACTAGGAGTCTGAAAAATTGAAACAGGCTCTCGGTAAAGCTATGGTTTTCAGCCCTGGAAGCCTTTATTTAGTCAGAGGCAAGCTGAGACCTACTGGGCAGAGAAATAGACTGCTAGGAAGCCATGGTCTCAAGCTCCATAACCTAAGAGTATTTATTAAGTGTTCTCTCTTATTTACTATGTATTCCATGCCCCAAAGAAACTTTCATTCCCCATCATAATAAGTATCTGTGTGGTTTTAAAAAAAAACAAAAAACTTCATCTTAAGTAAAATGAATTATAAAAATTAAGTTTTTACAGGAAGACACTATATTAATTTTCCCTAACTGTTGCTGCCATGTCCTGGAGGCATGTCAATATGTGGCCTGTGAGGAGGCAGAGGTGTGTAAGTCTTGTAATTCACACATACTTTTGCTATAGCTGTTTTACCATGAGTTACTGTTCCTTTTAAAATGTTCTCTCGTCAGCCCAAAACTCTGCAGTTTGCTCAGCAACTTGCCCCATGGATGCGGTTTATCAAATAACAGCTCTCCCTTTCCCCCGTGCTGCACAGTTCATGGGGTTTGAGTGTCCCTGTTCCTGTGTGAGCTCTCCGTCACATCCCTTCTTACACTGGTCACCTGACTTGTAGGAAGCAAATGGATCAAGGACCACAGAGCTTGAAGAATGCTGAAAGGCTGAGGTCACACAGGTGGTCGAGAGATCATATTTTCTCCCTAAGAATACTGGTCCCACACCCCCAAAATCAGGACAGATAGAAACAATATGATGGCGTTAGCTTTACTGTTTGTCCCTTCACCCCCACATGGGCCTTCAAATTGGGCACTCAGGACTCTATCTACCTATCACATATGACTAGAAGACAATCAATACACTTAACTTACTTTAATATTAAAACCAAGAATTTAGCTATGTGTGGTGGTGCACACATGGGAACCTAGACAAAAGGACTGGAAGTTCCAGGACAACCTGGGCTACAAGATCCTTCCTCAAACAAATACTTCAGACAAAAACTTGACCCCCCCACTATAAATTCTTTTTGTTGCTACTTCATACCTGTAATTTTGCTACTGTTATGAATCATAATGTAAATATCTGTGTTTTCCAATGGTCTTAGATGACCCCCATGAAAGGGTCAGTCTACCCCCATAAGGGTTGAGAACCACTGCTTTAAAGGATGTGTTTAAGTCACCAAGGAAAACAAAGCTAAACTCAAATATTGGCATGTTTAGCCTACTGGTCACTCAGCAAGTCACCTGATTCAAGGGTTCTTCCTGAAAAGCAAAAAAGATTCCTTTGTTTATAACAGAGGATATGAACAAGAAAGAGGGCTATTACCACTCTCCGTAGTTCACCCCGGCCCTAAGTGGGTGTACCAGGGATATGAGGTGAACTTGGATCAGCCGTTTCCATCAGTGAAATGGATTTTGTACTTTCCTTGTCTAGACCATGCCATTCCTGAGGTGTTTTCCATAAAGCCTTGGGTATCTGTCCTACATAGCATTTTCCATGGGCCTAAAGCAAGAAAGTGGAGGTCACCTTTTAAGTATTAGAAGTCAGTCTAGGGTGATGGGCAGTGTGGGGGTCCTGAGCCCTACACTTCTGTATTCATGACTTCAGCCCCTGGGAAAGTCTGGCTGCTTCCTGGAGACTCTTCCCCACCCAACAAACTCTATGAAGGGTTGAGGTGGTGGGCAACTGAAGACGAAAGGACTTGTCCGTCTGGCCTGCCTTATTGGTGAGTAGAGGAACCTTGGCCAATGGGAGGCAGACTGAAGACAGGGCCTAGGAAGTTCCTGCCCCTTGTCTTCTTGTAGGAACCCGTGACGTTAAGGCATAGAGAAGAGTGGAAGTGCCCACCATCTGAGAAATGGTCACCAATTCACAAATAATTTCCCAAATTACTGCAGCCGTCGCTACTTGCAGTGAGCAACATTCTACTTTTCTGCCATGCTTCAAGAGGCCTGAGCTTATGGGAGGAGGCTTTTCAGTGAAAATCAAACTATTAACTCTTTCTTTGTATGC